TCGGTTTTGCTAGCGTCGTATTTTGTTGCTTCCTGGCGTTTCGACCCTCGGCGTAGATTTTCCACCGTTTGTTCTTGTCGTAACTAAGCTCTTGTACACTGTGTGGAATCTTTTGTCGGCGTCGCGTTGCGACGATAGGTGTCGCTACGTTCAACGTCGGTTCGATAACTTCGTGTCGTAGGGCATCCCGAAGCCCATATTTATAATAAAATAAGAAAATTCAGCCTAATAAATAGGCCTGTTGGAGTAGTGGCTTTATTTACCGTGTAATAACTACTTTTGCTATAGTTAATGCATATTACCTAAAGGCCTTAATAAGGTAGAACATGTAACACCTTTGCAACTGCTGGAATATCACCATTACCATATGTGTGTATCCCCTTTAAATCGTGGTTCGCTCTTAGGAGTTACTTCCATTAGTCCATTACCATTTGTGCTTTATGGATTTAGTTGAATTGTTACTACTTTATACATATTGAAATCGATCGTTAAAATAATGTGCTGATTTATCTTTATCTCTTCTACTGCTTTGTTCATATTCCTATTATCATGCATTTCGGAAATACGCATGCGATTAATAATTGTGACTGGAATTAATTAAATCATAATCATAGTATTAATCAAATAGGCAATATGATGTGTTTGTATGGACCTAGTTAATAGATGTGGGATGTTTAACAAATGACTACTGCATGAAATATGTTAAATATTTTGATTCATTTTCATAATTCCTTTGATGGTCCTTCCTTTTCACTAACAATTTTATCTTAATATTCTCTGTGCCTTTTATTCCGATTAAATTATTGTTTTGACATCAGCTGAGTTGTGACCCTGATGTTGTAAATTTAATTTGCTGGTCGCTGTTCTCGTCGCATCACATGTTATTACCGTCCTGCCATTTGTCTTTCACCTGTTCCATCGCATGGCATGACCAGGATGCAGTTTCCTGCTAGACTTGACATCAATCAGATTGTCACAAAGTGTTATTGATCATCCGATGCAACACTCCTTGCAGTGTCGACTCCACTTTGTACTCTTCCCGATTTTCCTGCATTCTCCACAGTTTAATTTTAACCTATATATGGTGGATTTTAAGTTTCATAACCACGTTATTGTTACGGTGGGAAGGACACGTAGAACTCATGGGCAAAAATTATAAATATGCAAAAGATTTTTGTTGGCATTTTCAGAATATTTGACTTAGGAAATGTGGTAATTTTAAAATGGATCTTAGAGAAATAGAGTGTGAAATGTGGATCTGAGTAATGTGGCTCTGGATCATTACTAATGGCGGGCTTATCTTAACGGCGATAAACGTTTATATTTCTTAAAGGCAGGCACCTCAATAATTATACATTTCTCACTAAAATCCGGTACCGCGGAGCTATTTAATTACTTATGTAATAATTATGCATTTCTCACTAAAATCCAGTACCGCGGAGCTATTTAATTACTTATGTGAGGTTAGGTTTTCACGACGGCAAGTCTGAAGGCAACTGTCTTCTGGGATGTTGCGTCGAGTAGTCTGGTAAGAATTGTCTAATATTTCGCAGGTGCTCAGTGCCTTCATCATCAGGGTGACGATGGGGGCAGTTAACGTCTTTGAATTACTGGTCATTTTCTGTGAGACCATTCTACGCAACTTTTCAGAAGACAGTCATCTTCAGTTATCAATTTATTAAGATTATCGTTAACGTCTGTCAACATTTTTCTCTCAAAAATTCAGATTTATTTCTCACACGTGTGGTTTGTCTCTTTGGGCCGTCTTTACGTGAATGCAGCAAACATAGAATTAGAATCTTGTTTTTCAAAAATGACATAACGTAAAATTAACGTGTCAAGTCTTTTTTACAGTTTCACCTTTCTCTTCTTCTGTCATATATAATGTAGACACAGTACAGTATTATTACTATTGATAATATCTTGAACATAATATGTTGCCATTAATGTTATACAAATTCACCTAAGAGTGCCCTTATATTCAGAGATTTTTTTCGGTTTTGAAATAAATCAGCGTAAAGACCAGAGAATGATTCAATATCACAAAGAACGTATTTATGAAACCTGTGTACGCTCATATACTCTGACGCAACGGTTTCTAAATAATCTGTTCTGGTATCAAAATCTAACGTTGCAGTTTACAGTGTTTGATCTCCTTTAAGTCGTGAGTCAGAGTTGCACAGGTTGGTCTCCTGGAACACTTCTTTGCTGGTCTGATGTAGGGCTGACATCAATTAAATTGTCTGCTTCCCATCCTCAGTTATTAATAGCCGCCAGCATCAAAGATTGGACCACTGGCAACTTCTCCGTCATCTAGCGGGCGGGTGGGTATGTATTCCCGGCTACCATAATCTTGCGGATTTCTGATATCAAATAAAAATCTCGTTACAGAAAATCAAACGAGTTACATTTATTTTTCCGAGTCGTTCATCATTCCATTAGTGTTGCCATTTTAATACGTATGCATTCGGGACAATTTTCATTCGGAGGTATAATTTCGCTGGAGATTTTGTAATGACTGCACGACAGGTAATTTTGTGAATAAATTAATACCTGTGACTCTCGTTATACGCGTATACTAACTCAGAGTTTATCTTAATATAAAAATATTTATCTTTCCTTACTTACGAATCTTATAAATGACACAGTACTTACTGAACAGATTTGTATCGCGGTAGCTCTAAACTTTTATATGGAAGGTATCTACTTCGAATTTTGGCCGGATTGCCATCTGGTCTCAGACTTCAATTTCCATGCTTATCCCCAGTCTATTCATATGAATTATAGAGTAATAATATCTTGTGATATGCCCCAACACTTTTTCCAAATGATTAATATCTTACAATTTATGATCTCACCATCGCATTCGACCTTGCGTGATGGCTACAATTGAAACATTGTCCGGTAAGGAAGTTTTGATAACTATGAATTAAGCTACAATTTTGCGCGTCTCACCGAACATCAAGGAAATAAGTTACCCAAGGTCTGTTATGGATTGCAGCTTCACAGTGTTTATATTTGACGTAGTAAGAAAAGTCTAGAAGAGTCCTCAAGTTTTTATCTGTCGAATGAGTGACAAGAATACCTGTCTGTAACTTCTTTAAACAACCAATTACAAGTATTAATCTGTTAGGCTATTTAAACTAAAAATATATTTTTGTACTTGCAGTTTAAAAGACCAGAGTTAAGGTAGCAAGGACACTAATGGTTAATGTTATTTTAGATATAAAATATAGTTTTAGAGTCCTGCTTATTGTGAAACAGTTGGAATATGATAAGCAAGCAACTTAACTGAAATACTGTTGGTATTTTCCACACACGTATGTTCTGATGGAGCCCTGATACGAATTCTAAGTTGTTCTGGGATCTTTTATAGCTTTGACATTCTCTTAGACCTGTTAAAAGCTTCGGAAAATATACTGTAGTCAGGATGCGACATGAAATATGTATGAAACTATCCATCACTTTCTCTCTTGATGAAAATAGAACACGAATAACGCGCCTGTTCTAAAGAATAAATTAAATATGAGCTCAGTCATTAGCAAGGATCATGTCAACTACTCGCCACATCATTTACATGCCGAAAGCACGAGTGTGAAGAAAGCTTTTGCTTGAGATCTTTGTTTAGCACGAAGCATGAAATTCCGTTAAGCAATGTTCCACGAATGTGTTTATTGTGTACTGATGTAAATTTTACACAAAGTTTCGACTGAAGCAGTAGGAAGTCAGTGTTAAACTCAAAGTTAGTTAGTCTTTGTCCAGAAACACCCCTTTTGCTAAACTGATACAGTAGCAAGAGGAAAAGTTTAACACTCCTGATTTAGGTGACATTGTAAATTACAGGATTCGATGGTAGTTCGGTGTGTACTTGCTCGTAATTTGTTACTGATTTAAAAAATAATGTCATAATTATGTGAAGGTAATAGAATTTGACAGCCCGTAGCTAAAATAAATTTGATATAGCCGACTTGGCTATAAACGTAACGTTATGTATAATTATTGCAACACATCTGCATCATTCTTTATATCTGTGGTAAATTAATTAATCTTTATAATCTCTATATACATTTGTTAATATGAGAATTTTAATTTTAATTTTCTTCTTAATGATTTTAACACAGTATAATGATTCCTTCTGGCTACAAACCTGAACAGAGTAATTAAACTGGTTGTATGCATCTCCTCGGAACTTTGTTTTCAAATACACTCTATCTGTAATGCGAAAGTGGCATATATTAAATTAATGTCAGGATAAGAAACCATAATTTTGGTATACATCTCGGTAGTGTACGGCTGAGATCAAATTGCTCCAGTCCTAACCATCTGTATCGCATTTAGATTGAGAAGGCGGTGATTAGAATTGGAAATTTAGCGGAACTGCCAACTCCACTTGAAGTTGGTAATCCCGACCCGTCTCTGTTGGAAGTGAACCGGCAATGTGTGCGTGAAGTGGGTTAGATCCTGATGGAACCAGGGAGATGTGGATCATCAGGATGGGATCAAGTTTTCTTCCAGCGCAGTCTTCTCTCTAGCAGATGCAAAACAATGAGCCCTGAAGGGTGTTCAGAAATACAGCCCTCGACAGGATTCCGATTGGTTGTTCAAAGACATAATTCCCTTTAGAATCACTAATGGATTTTCAAAATATACAGCTCTTAGCTGGACTCCGAATGGGTTTTCAAACAAAGCTACCGTAGGACTGCTATTGAATTTTTAAAATAGAGCTTTGGGCAGGATTTTTAATCCATATATCCCGGAATTCTAATGGACTTGAAGCTGAAAACAGGACTCCTAATAGTAATTCATAAATTTAAACGGTTCTCCGACTGGATGTTCAGGAATATGTACGTATCTCCAATTAAATTGCACAGAAATTTCCGGGGTGTTTTTTTACGGCAAGTTCTTCGAATTTTCTCTACAGTGACCTAAGAGTCAAGGATCTTTTAATACCCGCTCGAACCTCCTTACTGCATGGATCTCACTTGTTCTGCAAAATGAAACGCCAGTGTTGCCACATTGTGTGGTAAAAAGTCTTTAAGGATGCAGTATCAAGGAATAAAGTTTTTCTTCCTATCTAATTTTGCCTAAAAAGCATCTAGCTTCATTGAAATAAAACATATAACACAATGTCCCAAAATCTTCATAAAATTTGATTGAAACCAAATTTTCAGCACGGACAAATTCGTATCTTTAAAACCGAAATTCCACTGAGTTAATATGAATTTTTTAAGCTAAACCGATGAACATTGTAATCTTTCTAGCAGCTAGTTAACAATACTAAACTTTGTTTGCCTGTCATTCTTTATTCTTAGTTTAATATTTATTTATATTTAATTAATGTTATTTAATTCAATTGCTATTGCATGCTGACTTATATAGTCTAATTTAACATTTTGTCCCTCGTTGAATTTTTATCGATTTACTTACATAGTTAAATTTTTTCATCATGCACTTTAAGGACTTCGAGGCCGTACAATTGCAAACCGAAACGCACAATGCATTGCGCTGTTACGATTATCAGTTCATACGTACCAAGCCTTAACCACAGTTAATACAAATGCGTGCAGATTCCAGTTTAATGGTGTTTAGACTTTTGATTGAAACGATGCAGTCTTTGTACTGCATTATAATTCTCGTTCCTTTACTCGCTGAAGTTTTGTTTTTGCTGCTAATAATTTTAATCATCCAGAATGGCCAATAACTCGCGGAAATAGAACAGTAATGAAGTTCCGTAGTTGTGTCATAACGGGGAACAAATATCACATCAATATGAATGAGTATCAGAGGATTGCATCGGGGCCACTGGCGACAGATGAATCGTAGAGAAGGTAAATGTTGCCATAATACCTTCATTTGTTAAACAATTTTGTTTTTAATTTTGTGTTTACAGTTTAACTTTTTCGTATTCCGCCAATGTGTGAAATTAGTTTTCCGTTAAGGGATGGCGTTGAGGCTATCTTAAAATATATTTCTTTTATTTTAAAAAATACATGTTTAAACGTAGAACGACAATTAAAGTAATACAAACTCAGATAATAGGATTACAAAATTTACTAAAGTAAATAACTTATTTTAACCTAGAGTTTGTCATATTTTAAAACGCACATCTCTATGTTACAAAGAACAGCTATAAACTAACAAGCTGTTGTGCTATAATTTATTATTATAGATGTGTTTATACAGTTTGTCCATAAAATGTGTCCGCTTTAAATACAGGCAGCCTGTTCAAGAAAGAATAACCTTTCTTAGAATCACAGTTTTATTTTAATATGTCACATGGCAGTATTATTACTACCAAATACAAAATTAATGTAACAGTATTATATCAATTCTCACATACAATGTTCAAACTTAAGCGGGTATATAGAGTGATAGAAGTGATACAGTACAGATTTTATAATATCGGATAAATGTTTTTAAGGATTGATAAAATGATAGATAGAAAATTTTACGCTTGGTTTTACCATCATAAATACAGATCTTGATTCAGAAATAAATATTATCTACCTTTTACTTGTTCATATTTATTCCATCCTTATTTTGGACTCGCCTTTCCGAACAATCATTTGCACAATATGATTTTTTATTATGTACTCATATACTTTATTTTTACTTACATTTTAAACATATAAGTAACTTTAACTGTTAATACAAAAAATTGTAGCTTGTTTTTTTAACTGCGTCCATCGTAATCAATCCCGAGTCTACAGCGGAACTATAAAAATTGTATAGGGGTATATTCTTTTTTAAAATATGTACTAAAGCACTTGTATTGGTGGTTCATAGCTAGCTTATAGCACCTTTTAATGTGCAGATAAATCGAATTATTCTTGTCTAAATAGGTAAAGCGAAGCTACAGATTGTCTTATTGCACAGCTAGAAATTGGTGCAACTCCTTTACAGACATCATATTGTCACTGTAGCATGTATGTTGTTGTTAGTGATCCAGTGCTTTAAAGACACTTATAAAATGGTAAATGTATTGTAACTTTACAATTAAGAATTAATTAAGATTTCTGTCTTCAGGGTTGTTGCGCTGTGTAGTCTGGTAGATGTTTATCAACGTTTCAGAGGTCATACTGCCTCCGTCATCAGGACAATTCATCGCCCTGATGACGGCGGCAGTATGACCTCTGAAACGTCGGTTAACATCGACCAGACTACACAGCGGGATAACCCAGAAGACAGAAATCTTCATACTCACCGCTGTGAAAACCTCAAATCTTACAAGAATTAATTAGGTGGAAATATTTAGAATTTCTTACTGAATTACGATGGGTTTTAAAACAGTCGACCTTTTTTAATGTTTTCAAACCGGCGTGATTCTGCTTTTGTGGAATGTGTTGCTAAAAGCGGAAGAAAATATTTCTTAATGTAGATGTTAAACGGAAGTAATATATTGTCAATGATATTATATTCACCTCTGTTTAAATGTATTATTGTCGACGGAAAATATTTAGTTCGTGACCAAATATTACTGGATAGTTTGCAGAATATGAATTAGTTCCTCGTCACAATTTAATTTGATCATGTACTTTTAAGAACTCAGATTATTTTAATAAGTTTTACACCGGGCGTGTCCTTTGCTGTTCGTGAAGAAATTAGCAATGCCGAGTATGACAATAATACACCGAATGGTAACACAGGAAATCTCTGTACGTTACAAATGCTCATCGACCAACCAACCAGCTGAAATTATGTCCATACCGATTTCAATCAGTGTCTCAGATGAAATAATTCAATATTTCTAGTGATGTCCTCGTTTAGAGAGTGGATTTCTTAGTGTGTAATAGTTGGCGTAGCCCTTTGAGTGGGACAGTATGTAATTCATTTATGAATGTGACAAATAAGATGAATTTAAAAACTTAGCCTCTAAAGTATAATATATTACATAATAATAATAATTTCTATAGTGCGTTGAAACTTTACTCAAACGCTCTGCAGCAATTACTTAGACAATTTTATGTATATCCAAATTATCTGTCATATGGAAGTGAGTAATTGGGGAAGTTTTATCATACTGTATATGCAAAGGACAAAGCTGTAGAATATATTTTCTTCGGTCAATCTTGAGATTTGATATACACAAGCGTTGGTACATGTATAATCACATACGTACGTGTTCAGTAATACATACCCGCAAACACAGATTTACATACGTAATGGATTAATGTTTCAAAAATTGTCATTTACATAATGGATTATGTACTAAGATATAAATTGTACAAGATATGAAGACATTTTCTTAATTTATACATTGTGTACAGAAATATAATTACAGTACTTTTTAATATTTTAATATCCTTAAACAAAACTTCGAAATGAAAGCCAAATTTAAGGCTTTAGACCGTCCTTCTATTTCACTTTATTATATCAGCACTAGAGCAATCAACAATTAAAATAAAAGTTACCCTCGCAAGCAGTTCCACTGTCATTATGGTAACTTAATATTAGAATTTAAATAAATATGAACTGTGTGTCGAATTCAGATATCTCACTTAGTTATAAGCATTAATATGATTTTTAAAGCTGTTTATTCACTATCTTAACATTCACGAAATTTCCTAAGTCTGTTAGGTGTGCCAATTTGAAAACGGAATTTAATTTGTGAAGTTAGGATAGGGATTCTGAATTAGACCAACGTACTTAATGACAGTAAGCACTTTGCTCAGCAAACAGTGAGCACAGAATGAAGATTTATGCGTGAGCTTCCTGCATGTTTATGGCGAGTGCTATGTCTTACTTTTGTGTAAATATTTTAAAAGGATTTACTTGTTTAATGGCATAGAGAATGCATTTTAATACCTGCATTTAATAACTTCTTACACCCATGCGTTGTGGTGTAGATATTTCACTTCTATAATAGCAGTTGCTATGTGCATATAAACGTAACACAGGTCTACAACTAAAATCAAATTTGGTAGTGTTCTGTCGTCTGTTGATAGCTGTGTGAGCCTCATTGTGACTTATAATACTCATATATCATCATATTCAATAAATTTGAAAAGTAGGTGAATACGTAGTGCATAGAATGTTTACTAAACAAATATTCTAAAGTTTTCCCCGCAGAGAAATGTATCTAAATTAAAAATTATTTTTTCTGGTTTATCAGCAGGGACGACATAATCTTTGAGACCGTTTATACAAGTAATGCAATGAGGTAGGTGAAAATGTTGTTGTTTTCTGGGCTGTGAAACCATGTGGTCTCCTTCTGTAGGAATATTGGTAGCCACCTACAGTACTACACGGCGTCACAATCCAAAAGACCATAATACCTTAGTTAATATAATGATATGTACAATTTATTTTAAAGTCAATTTTTTACGCACGCTTCATAATACCCACACCAATGGCTTCATTAATAAAGACTTAGTTTGCAAATTAATTTTAAAGACGTAAATATGTGTATCTATATTTTGTAATATTTACCACAGCCAAGTGAGAAACTTAATGAAACTAAACTTAAGCTAAATTTACTGACTTTTAAAGCGTCTGTTTCGAAATCCAGGTAAAAAAATGAAAAGCGTTTAAGGTGGAACAAGAATACATTGAATCGATCAGGAAACAATGTCAGTAACCCTCTCTTTCAACATCTTAAACGCGCTGTCTCACTGCAAATGGTTCTGTAAAAGAATGGAAGTGACTTCCACAAGTCTTGGGTATAGAATCCACAGTAAAGAGTCATTGTACTTCCTATTCTGATAAATCTTCGACTTTATATCCATAAGTCTCCAGTTCTGAAACAAACATTAACACACATTTACTGATGTTATAGAAAACGAAGGCTACTACGAACTGATTGACTTGGAATAAAGTTTCGTTGTTTTCGATGTTTTGTGAGTGAGCGACACTGTATACTCACCAACAAACTTGTCCTCGTTCGCCAGAAGCGACAATCTCCATCCCTTGTTGTCGAAACTAGGCTTCCTGCCTCCATATTCTGCCGGCAGGATTTCTGGGCTGATGAACGCGTGCAGAGAGATTAAGTCTCTACCGTGCAAGTAGATCTGCAGATAAACATTCCATGGGCAGATTGAAAATGCTGATAATGCACGTTAATTCCAAACGAGAATATATAAATAATATTTATCCGATTCACACATCTAATAACAAGGTAAAAATAAAGCAGTCAGTAAGTATGAAGTTTTCAAAAGCTCTATCAGACTTGAGAAGAAATTAGTTATAAATTAAAGTAAAGAAAATTAACTACATATTGAGTCTATCGCCAGAATGCAGGACAAAATTGCACTTTAAAATATAACTAAAATATGAAACTATAATTTTATAATGAGATTTCACGCCGTGTAGTCTGGTAGAAACTGACCGACGTTTCAGAGGTGCTTACTGGCCCCATCAACAGGACCCTGATAACGGAGACACGATATTCATGTCTATAATTTTAACGTTTCATATGGGTGTGAAGCTTCGTCTCTCCAAATGCTGTTGGAGTCATCAAATCATTGAGGATGAGATGACAGGATATGTATCCTGCATGGTAGCCATAAAAAATTCTTGCAACATTTTGTCGGAAGACATGTTTGTTAACGTTATTAATTAGGAAATCTAGGCGGATAATATAAAATGTATTTTAAAGAAAAACAGGATGTCAGACTCTCGACTGAATTCATTTGGTTGTGGTATTGTCCAGTGGCGGACTCTTTAACTTCCTTAAAAGGCAGTGAATTTCTAAATATCTAAGCTGCTTAGAAGGGACTCTGCTCCATAGAATTAGTTCTGCCTGCAAGTAGTAATACAGCAACAACGTCTCCAATACCAATTGTTTGTTCTAAAATAAAGGCACGAATCTGTATCAACTGTTAGTGTTTTGTTATGGATATTACTTATAAATATTCGGAACACCTCTGTATTTAATTTGTTTTCATTATGGGACTTTATATTTCATGGTGTAATTAAACTGAATTGAATTCCACAAACTATAGGCTCTGGTTAGGAAGATATCTGTACATAGCATTTAAATTAAATATCTAAAACAACCCAAGGATAAGTGAAAAGTGCGACGGTCTGTAAAAGAAATAACATTCACTACAAAGTCTTATCCGTATCTTCCGTAAATCGTGGTGTTGCTGTCAGAGAAAAGACGCCCAGGGCTAAGCGAAGAATTGCTTACCCGTCTTCGTATCTTTTCCTTGAGGAAGGGTTTCAGCACAGCGAACACAGCGTCAAAGTAGAACGGCTGATTTATCACGTGGAATCCTTTGAACCTCAGCGGAAATGTCTCCTGGAAGATATAAAATAAAACACCATGTTACTGTCTTTATAGAGGCCTGCAGAGTTGAAGGGATGAAAATGTTGATTCGTGTCGTATTTCAGCTATGCAGTTATGCAGTGAAATGCTTTCTTTTGTTGTAGCGCGAATCTCACTGTCCTTTTTCGTGTATTACGCTTGCTGGTCTGTTTCACTGAAGTTAATTGCACTGTAGATACTCGACACAGAATTAGAATTTATTCTACTTATATTTCACTAAAATATTAAACATATCTAAAATGTTTTAAATAAAAGTTATAGAATGTAATGAGATCTATATCATGTATCAATAGGCCTACTTTCTACGATAAAATAATATCGAATAATCGATAAATTTAGATTTGTGCTTCGTGTAACGTTTAGAACTAAGTGTAATAACCAACATATTTCATTAAGATATGTTTAGTAGCTTCGGATATGAAACATGTGGATCGACAGGCAGACGTTCGTTACACGACAGCCCCTAAATGAGTTAGCTTTATGTAAAAATAAAACTTTATATCATGTGGTTGAAATATATTTATGCGTCTTCAGAAGAGTTTTAGAATGAGTACATAATTATCTAATATATCTCACAGATTATTGTCACAGGAAGTCGATGTTTCAGAAACTTTCTCTTTCCATCATCAGAAATAATATTGGTAACCTATTCACAGTTACTATGGCAACATAGTTCTTTAACTACAGCACGTTCCACGTGATACGACGCTTGGGATGAGCTAGTCGTGAACTGCATTTATGTCAGATTTCAGGTTCTCAAGGCTGCGGGTATGAAAATTACTTTCCACCTTTATATCCGGTAAATGTTTACCGACGTTTCAGATATGTTTGCTGCCTTATCATTAAAGCGATCGTATGGAGCCTAAATTAATCAGACTCAGTATAAAAGTCCATTGTTTTGAGAAGGCTGTATTGCTTTCAAGCGAAAAGTAAATAATCGTAAAATGACAAGGATGATTAAGTCTGTCGTCAAGTGCCGCGGTACCTGTATGACGTCGACGGTGCGACGGGCATAGTACGGCGAGAGGAACTTGGCGTGCTGGAAACCGAAGCCGTTCATGTCCACAATGACGGCGAGACCTGCTATCTGTGTCTCCGGTTCCTGGACGATGTGCTCCAGTGCCAAGAGATTTGTGCGGAAAATGTCCTCAATGCTCACATTCGCGGCATCGCACTTCTCTGTAAGCACACACACACAGCAGTGTCAGTTACACGCGGTTTAGCATATCCGCGGTTTTGGCTGTCATGAGAAGCTCTTTCAGCTTCCACTCCACCCTTGGTTTCAGCCTCAGCTGGAGAGTCTGTCATGCTTGAAGTTGCACCTGTGGGATCCTCTACCCACAACTACATCATCTGACTAATCTAATTTGGTGACCCCCGTTCACAGTTCTCTGCGTTTTCAATATAAACGGTGATTTGCGGGAAAGAAACCACCGTGTATAACGGGAATCATGTATAGTTTGAAGCACGATGTCTTCCGCTATATTAAGAGTGTAGATGCTTCCTGTGCGGTTAGAAACGAGCGCACATTATGTGTCTTGTGTTTGGTAAAATCAGCTTAAGTCAATTCAAACTACGTTTCGGTTAGGCTCTTTGCACCGAACACCGCGCACGCAGAGTAAGGTTTCGTTTATACGGAAATTAAAAGCTGTATAATTATATTTTAGAAACTGCTGCCAGAAAATAAAATAGGATTAAAAACAGTACAACGTCCCCAGATATTTTTAGAATAATCCTACCAAGGATTATGAGGTATAAACGGGAAATGTATCCGTTCATTGCCAAAGGCTAGGTGCTGTAGGTAAGTTAGATAGCTGCACTGACCTACTCGAAATATGTACACTCTGCGACCGTTGCTGTCCCGGTCTTCCAGCATGTTCTGAGCTTGCATCTCCAGGATGTGCTGCTTCTCCGACGGGCGCGGAGTTTTGAACAGCTCAGGACACCGGAGTTTCATGATGTAGTACCGCTGTAACTGTACGGAAGCATAGGCAGGGCCTCATGTGGTAATATTTATTAACGGGAAGGTCTTTCTTCTCCGTCCACTGATTATACCAAGATGGAGCACTCCCACATTTCGGTAGCGACAACAGTCGTATGCCCGGTTTCCGAATAAGTGGATGGATAAAAAATATCTACTATTGAAACTGCTAAAGCTCCATGTTCTTCTGATCACAGTTCCTTGATCTTTTTTTCGGGGGAGAATTATATAAAGGTCGAAGCGTGGAATCGAATAACTGGCCTTATTACTATTAGTCTACTTCTCGAAAGAGACGTAGGTAAAAACAGAATAAAAAATAATTGAAAATCACTACACTTACCCAAGATGTGCTGGAGGTCGCCTATTAACAGCTGAATTTCGTGTTAGATATATGCTAAGCTACAGACGTGGTTCACACAGAAAGAAAATAACCCCCCGCCCCAAATAAAATAAAATAGTCGATGTTATAAATCTATCAAAATTCGTTTATATTTTAAAATAACCGATAAGTTTATTGTTTTGTGGAGAACCTATAGACTGTTTGACTTGTAAGGGTCTATTTGCGATAATGAATATTCGATTTGCATAAATTGGGTGGGATATCTTGACCAGCTGAGCGACAGTTAGGTTCCCAAGAAGGGCTCTGTTTCGTTTACTTCGTCGTTACATATTGTAGAGTCTCGATTATCCGGCATTCCATTTTATCCGACGTGCCGTCCCGTCAGAGCAAATACCCATTACTAATTTCTTTTAAAAAATTAATTTAGTCATTTACAAATTTATATTATGTTAAATACTATTTTTGTTCGCGAGGTTTCTTCTTCATTTGACAATGTCGAAAAATTGAGTTATAATTTGAATTGATATTTTACCCTCGTCTTTTATTAGTCTACCGTGTTATCCGACTTCTTCGATTAACCGATCGTTCTCCGATCCCGTTTGGGTGTGATAATCGGGACTCTGCTTTACTTGTTTAACGACGTCATACGAACCATGCGGAACGCTTCGGCGCAGTTGAACTTCCGAGCTCGAAGGAATCTCAGAAGGAAGGCGTCGTCTGTCCGCACGTGGAGATGCGTCTCAGCTGCAAACAGATAAGCGGCCCAGAGCTTTATGTAGTTTGTGAACTCAGCAGACTTAAGTCCCAAGACAGGTTAAACCACTTTACTCCTTCATACACGGCACTCTTTGCTTCCAATTTATCTCGATGTATTACAAGTGGTCTGTTCCTTTATCCGGAATAAAGCGGCCGGAACTATACGCTAACCACTCACATCAAGTTCTGGATAAAAAAATGCATGGAAGTATATTTCCATTCCCTTCACCTTTCGATATGTGATGCTTATGCATTACTTTGAAGCTCTTTTGGTATCATGCATGGGAGAGCTTAATTTCTACAAGATTCAGTTTCAGATATATCTGCATTAATTCTGAGCTGTGAAAATGTCTTTATTTAGAAAGAGCTAAATGTTTCTTACTGTAACTGTTAGTCTTACCTAGTACCATGCTTCTGAGGGAGCTGATGTTTGTTTGGACGGTTTCTGGCTTCTCGTTAAGCTCAACGGCAGCTTTATCTGCCCACTCCGGTGACAGCAGTGGAACTTTTCGGAGGGCTGCAGAGGATACCGCACTGGTTGCAGATGTTGTAGTGATGTTGGCTACAGGGAGTAACAGTTTGTCCGTGGAAGACGGGGTGATTAACACCTGGTCAGGTTTCTGGCCTGGTAAGGCGAGACCAGGGAACATGTTATCGGCCGGCATCGTTAGAACATGCTGCAACACACCAACGAGTAGTCAAATGAAAGTGAAGCACTGTTAATTAAGTCCTGAAAAAAAACAAAAACGAATAGGCCAGTTGTAGAGGTCATCACAATTCTAGCTACCACACCCCAGATATTTTCCATGGATTTCTTTCCAAATCAGTCTTAACTCTATATGTAGCTTTGTTCGTCTTATTTTGCCTTTATTCCTGTTGCCTTCACGCGACCCTCGTCACTTTATCTGGCAATAAACTTAACTGTCGCTTCATCAAGGTAACACTAATCCTTGCCATTAAAACCTTCATCCATTTCTGTATCGATCCACAATCTATCCTCTGAAATGCTCACTCAAGATCCTCGTAACTTCCTACCGCGAATTCACTTTTCTTTAAGAACGTCAGAAACTGGTTTTTGAAGTCAGATTTCTTCGAATCTACATGAATGATTCTCGTTATGCTTAGAAATGCGTGTAAGTAAACATATTAGTAGGTATTTTTCATAGTTTCCATGTGATCCTGCATAATTTAAATAAAATGAAAAAGTACTTTGGTTACATTGGAGTTCTAAGCTTAAATTTGAGGTGCGAATTTAATTTCGGTCCTTACAGATCCAGTATACCGCCTTCTTCACCATCTAAAACTTTGTTCGATTCGGTCAGTATCTGATAAAATAAAATAAGGATATAATCTGTCAATGAGTGAAATCATGTGTGATGGAATTTCATCCGTAGCAATATTTTTCATTCTGTAGTTGATTTAATTTCATTAAATGAACATCATATTATGAAAAATAGTGAATAACTCTTTTTAACTTTGTGTAGTTGATTCTGAATACGAATTTTCCCTCTTGATATTTACAAATATATGGGATATAATTAGAATTTTAATGGGCCGGTTTCTGCAAATTGGATGAAGTTATATTGAAGCAGGCATGCAGTTTTATATTAAACCGCTTTACAAATTTAAAGACTAATTCGTAACCATATTCTGGCCGTCATTCGTAATTATTGTAATACACTACCGAAATGATTTTAATATATAATAGATTTCTAAGTCGTACTATCTTCTTTTCTCGTTAAATTGTCGAAAACTAAAGTTAATGTAAACAGATAAAGTTATTTTGAAACATTTTGTCTTTTATATTAATGCCTCTGCAGTGACTTGAATTCTTTGTCACTGTTTTAGCATATAGGCTCATCTGTACACAGACTCCAACAAACTTACCATTCTGTTTTTGATTTGAGGTTGTCACGGTGACGAATATGCAAATGTCTTCTATAATGTTTCAGATGGTTTATTCAACTTTACGCGGAGAATTATAATTTTTATTCACGTCATTTTAAATGTAAATTTTTTATGATTTGACATTACGTATATAACTTTACCAGTTTTATAAAATAATCTAATAACCAGCATACCATATAAACACCAGTTACAGTTTATTATATATTTCATAGTTACGTACATGCAGGCTTCGTCATAATCCGCAAACTAAAGTAATTTTCAACGCATAAGATTTTTTCGCATCACTGTTCGTAGTTACGGTGACCTCACCGGTCACCCTACCTCATGTATAATTGTCGCGTTATATCGCACCTGTGGTTTCTTATTGTATTTCCACTTGGATACACGTGTACCGTGAGTATCAAATTGTTAAGTCAGGTGATTAAGAATAGAGTGCGGTATTTCTGCTAGTACATACGTCATTTGGCAGAGCGTAATGGAGCCGAGGCAGCGCTTAGTTTCGATCGATGGTCTCCGGGACCACAGCGTCGCGTCGTAGTGAAACTTCGATGAATGCCTGGTATGCGACTCAGTCTCTAATCTCATTACTGCGTGCAACAGCTCGCCTGATCTCCACGGTTATGGTTTTGCAACCGGAAATGAGCGTTCCTTTTTCTGCGTTTTGCTTTATCCTTCCTTGTACAATTATTACTCTGTTATATGAGTGGTGTACGTTATTCCAGAATTAGCAGGAAAGAAACGAAAAAATTTATATTAGAATTGAATGCGGTGAATATTTCGTGAGCCACAATCTCGTTACATGAACGTAATTTATATACGAAATTTTGTACATGTAAAACAGTTGAATGGTAATACCTGAAGAATTAAAATATTTGAAAATATATCAGAAGTTGAGAACTGTAAAATCTTGTAAAAAAAACACAAGTTAGCATGCCACTTTCAAATAAAATAGTTCACTGATGTGGCGTTAACAAATGTAGAACATTGCATGCAAAACGAAACGTAACCAAAACAGGTTACGACAAACTTTGAAACTAGAACACAGTAACATTTTAGGGGGTGTAACACGTAATGTGTAAGGTTAAGGAGTTTAACTCTTTGTCATATAGCTACTTAATTTGGTGTTAAATTATCTTCAGGCCCTATTCAGATCATCGGTTGTCATTTTATTGACAGCTTTTTTATTATTCTATAATCAGTGATGGACATCATATATTTTGGAAATATATCAGTTACGTTCCCAATAATTGCCA